ATTTTGGTTACATTGTAGTGAGGTGTCCGGTTTTATTGTATCAGGTTTAAATTTGTGCTGTCTGTCTTCTGCTGAATCAGCTGTAACTTTTTCCGTAAAAGTAACGTTAATCTCCCCACAACCCGCCCGAATACACGCTAGGTCACTTCTGATTGTTAGTTCCCCAAACTGTCACCTTGGCACAAGGTTACGGGAGTGTTCCGTTATGCCGTCGATATCGTGTGTTGTATATTTAAGCACGCCAGCGCTTTTAACGCTCCAGAAACATGGATCAACTGGCCCTAACACAATCACCACCCCCAGAGGGTGCTGCAATTTTTGTCACAGGCATTCTCTTTCTCGGAATGAAAACGTAAATTCAAGACCACACAGAAAGCAAACAAAAGAGCGGGACACACATGTACCCTTCAGAAAAGTCGACTAGTCGAACAAACTTGTGAATGAAAAGTGACCTACTTTTTGGGGAAGGTTTGTGTAAACCTAACAATATTTTTGCTATGGTTGTTTTTGTTGTTGTTTCTGTTCTGTTGAATGGTTTGATTTTCCTAACAAGGTTCAGTGTGTCATTTATATATACTGTGCACATCTTCGTGCTGCTCATCCCCTGCCCTACTTTCCTGGGACCATTCCTTCATCTATTTTTTTTTTAAACCAATTACGTGTGGCGCTTGATACGGTGTCAAAGGTGACAAACCTTAGTGTATCCGCCTGCAGGTGTAACATGCATCGCTAATAATTAGATTACAGTCACGAGAAACGTTATAATGCTTACTAGTTACATTAGTCAATTCTCTTCGACTCTGGAATGTATAGGTTCTCCGAGAAATCATTAGACTTCCCTGTCAGCACTTCTCGGTTTGGCTTTGTTTCATTCCAGTCCTCTGTCAGGTGCTGTCTTCCAACCGTAGGACATGTTAACAGGAAAACTGGAGTGAAGCGGGGCAAAGACAACAAAGAGAAGCGGCCACGGAGTCACTATCGTGTATTTGCTTGTTAGTTTCAGCAGAGGTTGCACAGGCAGAGAAACTAGGACTAAGGGGGACTAAACCTATCGCTAATCTCAAACTTACTGCGGCTTCCACCTGTTGTCCGCACTGCTGAACTACTTTAGAGGCTATTATCTTTTTACTAATAATCATTGATCATAACTACTTTAGATGAAAAGTGATCTTCGTCACTCGCGATGGACGAACAACAGCAACGACAGTTTCAATAGTTTAAAACCCTATGTAAATTATCAAGTAATTTTCTGACTGGAATGGACAATCCAGTTATTTCACGCCCTAGCCACCCTTCCATGTCCTAGCAAATTGCTGTCAAACTTAACCTTTTTCCCGTTGTCTTCTTTTATCTATAAATCATGTTGGCTGATACGACATGTGCCGACTTGTCTCTTTTTATATTGTGACAACAAATGCAGTTATGACTCGTTTTTCTGATGTTTGCGATAAGTCAGGCTTTTCTTTCCAAAATATACGGATTACTCATTTTAGTCGTATTCAGAATTTTAAGCATACTTCTTTCGGACCACATTTTTGAGACTTCTATGAATTCCTTAGTTTTTGCCTTGATTATTTATTAGCGTTATCTTTTGATACTGCTTTCGTCGACGATCAGTTACACAGCAGGTGGAGGACTGTGGGTGTTGGCATGTTAATGACTGCCTCATGCATTTAAATACACGTGCGAGTTGCTAGTTTACCAGCACTGCAATTGTCTTTCAGTTGTTACCTTTTACAGTGACAAAGACAGTTTGTGTCATTATTACTAATATGGAGAATGACGAAATATAAGGGGATAATTTGCTGGGATGTTGGAATTTCATAACAAATTAACAGCCTGGTCACTAGGCCTCGAGTGCTAAAGGTTCCGGGTTCAATCCCCGATAAGGGCTGGGATTTTTTCACGTCCACCTGAACTTCTAGTAATTCCCTTCGGTCTCTGTGCAATGAGATCGGACGCCCGTGTGCATTGATGCACACGTAAAACATCCCTCGGCAGTTGGCAAGTGAAAAGACTAGACTTACGGCTGTGCCCGGGCAAAGACTTGGAGTTAATTATCTACCCAAAGTATTTCAGGATCCTCGCTGGTGCTACAGAGCCTCTGCACTGTGCTGAGCTTCTTCGGACTCAGGCTTGAGTTAGAAGAAGAATGGAGCTCTTATGGGTACAACCCGTGTGCATAAATGTTGATTCTTTGTACAAACCTCAAACAAATTAACCCAAAATAAAAAATAAAAATAAATAAAAAAGTGGAGAACCCCTTTTTCGCGTCTTTATGAGCATTGGGCATATAAGGTTAGACCTTTGTGTTCTAGACAAGTCGGCACCCGGTGGGTGATGTGGTTAACGTCATGTCGTCCGTCGCTACTTTCCAGATTATCACCCGGGGCTGATTAAAACCTGGGTGCACCTGGGTGCTAAATTTGTTTTTAAAAAAAAATATGGATCCGTCAGAACTTGAACCTTCGACATTCAGATTCGCAGACAAGCACTTAGTCGCTACACTCGGTGGCTGAATACAGTATCGAAATTTAAAAAAGAAAAAAAAAAAACACACAACATACCGCATCAGATTGTTTTATTCATTTTTCTCACATACAGTAGCAACTTGATTTAACTAAAAATGAAATTAATTACTAGAATATAATCTTAGAGTTTTATTGACGGCCCCAAAGACAGCTCTGCAGTCAAGTATATAAAAAGTCAAATACCTTACATCCTTTTCTATGGACTAGTCGACCTTGACCGCTCCAGAATACAGCCAGAACACGGACAGCTCTGCAGTCAAGTATATTAAAAAGGTAAATACCTTACATCCTTTTCTATGGACTAGTTGGCATTGACCGCTCCAGAATACAGCCAGAACACAGACAGCTCTGGTCAAGTATACAAAAAGTCAAATACCTTACATCCATTTCTATGGACTAGTCAGCATTGACCGCTCCAGAACACAACCAAATTATGGAGGTACTAGAATATAGTCCCGGTAGACAACGGTAAATCAGCTCTAATGTCAAGTAAATTAAAAATAAAGCAAACTTTCCTTTTTTTTTTTTTTTTTACGCACTCAGAATTTGGGCTAGACGTATATTGTTATAGACCAATCAACATCAATTGCTTTCTAGATTATAACAAAAATCGTGAAAGACACCTTTACAAATTATTTTTTAAAAAAATCATGGAAGATTTCAAACATTTACAGAATTATGGAGCAAATCAAACAAAAGAGTATTAAAGCTTCAACATTTTGGAAGTTTACTCACAATTGTCTTTAAAAAATTGGAATCGAGAGTCAAGGTAAAATATGAAACAAAACTAAACATAAAAGAATGTTAATTGCTCCTCGTTAAGAAACAGAAAAAAAGACCTGCAAATTATTTTTGAAAATTTGAAGTTATCATGTTCCATTCATATGTATTTGTTTTTTGCTTCCAAATATTGCAAGTTTTTTGTTCTGTTTTGACGCATTTCTTGTGCTTTGATTGTATTGGCATGTGTCATTTTTTCCACTCAAACTTACCTCCGCTTTGTAGATTTTATAATTTTTAGTTAGTTTTTGGAACTATCTTTCTTTTAGTTGCTAACTATTTAGTCTTTCGCATCTAGAATCTACAGGAAAAAAAATGCAAAAAAAAAAAAAAAAAAAAATTTAATAAAACATAACTAGAAAGTTCAACGAAAGGAAAGAAAAAGATGCGTACAACTAAAAATTAACGTTTCGGCCAGATAAAGTATTTAATTCTTTTTTTAATATGAATATTCCATTAACATATTAACTTACAACAACACACAAACTAAAGCAACGAATTATTAGAAACACAAGAAAATTGTTTATTTATTCACATCTCTAAATGCAATGACGCAATTTTAAAATGATGTCAGAAATGAAAAACAGCGTATATGTAAGGAAATGGATTAAAATGGACATTACAATGATAATTAAAGGCGAAAAAACATAGTAATTAAACTTTATTCTCCAGATGCATTTTATGTCGTATAATTTTTTATAAATTTTTGAATTTCTCTTTTTGCATAGATACACCAGTGTCTCTAGTTTTAACTGGATAAAAATTAAGAAAGAAAATCAACTGCAAATTTTGTGTATTTATAGATTGATGTATTATAAATAGAAAAAAAAAACATGATCAAATAAGACACAGTAATATTACAAGTATTGACGGAAAAATTTCAATATAAGTTAATGAAATGACAGTTAGAAGTGAACAATGGCTGGACGGATGTTTGAGTTTTCAAAGATATGATTTGAAGTGCAAAGCAGCAGATAAACATAAACACAAAGCAAGTGTGAATAGTTGTGCAAGTAAATCACTAGATCACTGCATTCGGCAAGCCCCGACACATATCCCTAGCATTTCCTACAATAGGAACATTCCCTGAAGCAAACTGGCTTCTGTAAGTTAAAGTCACTTTATTAACATTGTCCTTTATTCTTCCCTTTATGATTTCTATTCTTTTTCATATTACAATATTTTAATTGTTGTCTTGTAGAATTTTTTTCTTTTTTTTTTCTCCAAGTTCTTCTCATGTTTTTTTTTTTTAATTTGTAATTCTTTCTATTTTATTGTTGTTGTTGTTGTTGGTTGTTGTTGTTGTTGTTGTTGTTGTTGTTGTTGTTCTTCTTCTTCTTCTTCTTCTTCTTCTTCTTCTTCTTCTTCTTCTTCTTCTTCTTTTTCCTCTTCTTCTTCTTCTTATTCTTTTTCTTCTTTTTTTCCCATACTGCTCGTTCTCTTTGCCATCTGTTTTGCCCACTGAACCTTCTGCTTCCTGCAACAGTTTTTTCCCCCTGTCTCTCTGACAATAATAATTTGATTTCCACCTTAAAACAGCATTATACTCTCTCCAACCTAATCTCCACCTATGGAAAACCTTACTCTCTTCATTTAAAATCTAATTTCCACCCTGAAACAGTCTTACACTTTCCAATGGTAATCCAAAATCCACACTGAAACAGCAGTCGCATTCTCTCTATTTGTTATCTAATTTCCGACAATATCACGGCGACCTGGGCCAAACCCAGCTTGACTGGCCCCCTGATTGGATCCATACTGGAGGTTGATGGTTGCGTGCGAGGCCTGGGTGATGTTGTCTGTCTTGATATCCGCGATGTGACGTTGAGCTCCCATTGTCATACCTGCAAGACAAAAGTGTAAGTAAAGTAAAGTCAAGTCAAGGACCTTTTTCCACGCCTTTCAGGCGAATGGGTATATAGGGCTAGACCTATATTTTATAGACAAACGGCACAAGATGGGTGATGTGATCAGCATCACGCTGGCCGCCTTTACTTCCCAGAATTTCACCTGGCACCCACTCAAGGCTGGGTCGGCCTGGGAGCCAAGGTCATTTGTGAAAAAAATCCAGCTGCGCCACGAAGCGAACCCACGACCTTCCGATCCGCAGGCGAGCGTCTAGCCGCTACGGAAATAAAAGTATTTGAGAAAACTCAGTAATACAAATATTAAAACAATAAAGGATTCAATTTTATTCTTACTGTTTCATACACACATACGCGCGCGCGCCCTCACTCACGTGTGCGCTCACACTCACACACAGTTCTTTATAAAGTAACATTGTTCGCTGTTCATTCGTCAGTAGAGAATGAATGTCTTTACTGCACATTGAACGGGACCATAAGTGCTCCGATCTCATCCCGAGTATGTCTCCAAGTATTCAAGTTAACAACTCTCATTTTGTTCTGGTTGTTGAGGCGACAGGTGGTTCCTGCATTTGTTTTCTTGTCTCGTTGCTCCAGGATCTACTGATTACTGATTTAAGAATAGACATCATAGGACATGCTTCAGGGTAAGCAGTCTTAAAGAGCAACAGGTGAACTTGTCTGATCACCTGATGATAATGTATGTTATAGAAAGTTGCTGAAGAAAAAAACTTCTTCTTTGCGTTCACCAGCTGTAAACTCTTGTTGAAAGTTCTGGTTGTTCGTCCACTTCTTCACTGCAGTCCTGTTCCAGAAACTGAGTGTTGCGTGTACATCCGTTTTAAAGATCTGACACATTTGTGTGCAGACTGTTGGTTCCTTGACTCTCTGGCAGATGCAATCCGACTTCGAATGAAGCTCCCAGTTAGTCGACTCTTATAACATGCTTTTGGGTAGGCAGTGGGTTTATTTTTGTTTTTTCTATAATTAAAAAAAAAAGTAAAGATCCCTTTACACGCCCTTAGGCGCATCGGGCATATGGTAAGAGCACCCATATTTTTACAGACCAATCAGTGAGTAATGTGACCAACTTGGTGGGTAATGTGGTCAGCATTACGCCGGCCGTCTTTACTTTCCCAGGATAGCCCATCCTGGTACCCATGTGAGGCTGGGTCGACCTGCAACGTCCCATGCCACTATAAAAATCCACGCAGCCCACAGTGGGTTTCGATCGCGGTACGTTGGAATTACGAGTCAGACTCGCAACGCCTTAGCCACGGACGCCGCTTTTCCTAGAATAGGGTCTAGAAACCCACACGGGGAATAATAACAATGTAAAATACCTGTACACTGTCTTTAATGAGTACCAGGAAAACTCCTCAGAAGGAAAGGCGATGTGCGTGATATTGACCACATAACCAGCAGAGTGCTGATCGGTCCCAAAATATAGGTCTCACCCTGTATGCCCAGTACGCCCGAAGGTGTGGAAAAGGGACCTTTTACTTAATACTAGCATCTATGCAGCACATACCACGGCTGGCACCAGAAGCTGCTCCAACATCTGGTGCTGTAAGGCAGAGAGCAGGATTTGGAGGTTGAGAAATGAAGAAGAAGAAGTGAAGACACAAGATCTGAGGGCTATTATTGATATTATGTTATTTTAAGTGAAGTATAGGTTCCATCTGCACACCTTTCAGGTAAACCGATGCTCGTACCCAGATTTTTAAAACCTAGCTGATGGGTGATGTGGTCAGTAACACGGCGGCCGCCTATGCTTTCCACATTTATTCTAATTCATTTTTATTAGTAGGTCGAACTGAGATCCCAGATTAATTTTACCCAGTTCCTGATCTCATTTCTAATAGGAGCCCTTGACAACTGACCATGGAGATGAGAATAAAAATTACTGTGCTAATTTTTTTAAAAGTCGGAATGCGTCTGTTTGAGAGGTAAAGAACCAAATGTCTGTATACACGTAAGCCAGATCCGTGAAACGAATGTGCACGCAAGGCTCAAGTTCTGTGACAAGATCGAAGTGCAGGAGTAGATAAACAATCAGAACTTTATGAGTGAGTTACGTCTGGTAAACCAGCAAAAGGAGGAGGAGGACTGTGCTAACACTTGTCACAAATCATACGGGGACACAGAGAATTGCATAGACAGACCAGACCAGACAGACAGACAGACAGACAGACAGACAGACAGACAGACAGACAGACAGACAGACAGACAGACAGACAGACAGACAGACAGACAGACAGACAGACAGACAGACAGACAGACAGACAGACAGACAGACAGACAGACAGACAGACAGACAGACAGACAGACAGACAGACAGACATGCAGACAGGCAGACCAGACAGACAGACCAGACAGACCAGACAGACAGACCAGACAGACAGACAGACAGACCAGACAGACAGACAGACAGACAGACAGACAGACAGACAGACAGACAGACAGACAGACAGACAGACAGACAGACAGACAGACAGACAGACAGACAGACAGACAGACCAGACAGACAGACAGACAGACAGACAGACAGACAGACAGACAGACAGACAGACAGACAGACAGACAGACAGACAGACAGACAGACAGACAGACAGACAGACAGACAGACAGACAGACAGACAGACAGACAGATAGACAGACAGACAGACAGACAGACAAAACTCATACAGGTATGTAGGTATTAAGCAGGTAGGTAAGCAGATAGTCATGTCAATAGGTAAGCAGACAAATAAAATAACTACTACTGCGTTAAACAGTTTACCTTTCTGACTAGCGCCCCTGTTAGACCCAGCCTGCAGGCCGATGACGCCCTGTCCCTCCCGGGAAGCATCATCCGCTCGGATATCTGCTATGTGCCTTACAGCACCAAAGCTCATCCCGGTCTGAGAAGCGCCTTTATTCGAACCAGCCTGCAGACCAATGACTCCTTGTCCCTCTCGGGAAGCATCATCCGCTCTGATATCGGCTATGTGTCTCACGGCACCGAAGCTCATACCGCTCTGTGATGCTCCCTTGTTGGATCCAGCCTGTAGACCGATGACTCCTTGCCCTTCCCTGCTGGCATCATCAGCGCGGATGTCCGCAATATGTCTCACGGCGCCAAAGGACATGCCTACAATATAATGACACACGTATATATTAATGGACATCAGAAGGCGACAGACATCATTTTTCGGCCATGTTATGAGAAGAGGGAAAATAGAATATGTTCTGACCACTGGAAAGATCTGTGGAAGGAGGGATAGAGGAAGACAACGAGAGAAGATGCTTGGCAGTCTTTTTGCATGGCATGGAGGTGTGTCGGCACACCAACCGATACATGCTGCAGGAGATCGCAGATTATGGAGAGGCATGATCGCCCACGCCAGTTGGCAAGGCACCTGATGATGATGATGATATATTAATGATCTTAGCCGTTTATAAGTGTTAACCTTCTACTAGGTCTTGTTATTTATGATATCTATTTCTGCTTACCATCCCCCAGTGGAGCATAGGCACTCAAGTAAATCACGCCCTGTTGTTCCAACATGTGCTAGTTCACACAGCTCACTCCATGACGTTCCCTTCTTTTGAAAGTCATTCTCTAGCTCTCTTCATCGAGTGTTGTGTGTGTGTGTGTGAGTGTGTGTGTGTGTGAGTGTGTGTGTGTGTGTGTGAGTGTGTGTGTATATGTCTGTCTTTATTTTTATGCCCCTTTGGGCACTAGTGCAAATTCATTCTAGTTATATTGTTCTCAGATTCTCTCAGAGCGTGTCCTATCCAAAGCCAGCATCTTTTCTTAACCACCTGTACCCCTGAAACTTGTTTAGTTCTCTCCCAAATGTCGGCATTCAGTGATTCTCTCATAGCATTTAACTCCCTCTTTTCTGCTCAGGCAGAAGCTAACGAACGTTTCTATTTTATTAAATATTAAATGTTATTAGGACCACAGTCCTAGTTCAATTCTCCTTGTGTTTCTGATCTGAGTTTATTTTTATGCTCCTTTGGTCCAGTGCAAAGCCATTCTAATTATATTGTCATCATAAATACCCTTATATTAATTTTTGGGGGAGGAGGTGGGGGGTGGGGGGGGGGGGGGGGCACTCAGGGGTCATGAGTCTAGCCTAATTGTATAATAATAATTGTAAAAAAATTTTATGTGTGCATTATTATTTGTATTATTATTAATATGATCTATCTGACACAATATAAAATGTATAACACAAAACTTAGAATGGTAATGTCTATACTCATTTGATCCTAGTTTTGTGCTACAGAATGTGCTTACTGTGCGATGGATTCTCTATTGTGTGTGTGGGGGGGGGGGGGGGGGGGAACACCAGTACGTGTATAAAAGTATCAAAGCACAACTAAATCAGTCAAATGCAACAAAACCAGATACATACACGCCTTAAGTAATGCTTTATGATTTTGCTCAAGAAACCCACCTGACTGCGAAGCTCCCTTGTTAGACCCAGCCTGCAGCCCAATAACTCCCTGTCCTTCCCTGCTAGCATCTTCTAAACGGATGTCTGCAATATGTCTGACAGCTCCAAACGACATCCCTGACAAGAAAATAAGTCAACAAGGTATACAATAAATGTCACTGAAATAACTACTGAAACATTACCCGTCATCTGGTTCCGTCATCTGGTGCAAAGATGCGAGAGCATAGAGTAGGTAACCTGAAAGACACACGTGCTGTAATTGTAACTGACTCACAGAGCATGTTGAGAACGGTGATAACAGACATGCTTCGTGCCAAGTGGCAAAGTCACTTCAGAGGTCCCTGGTAGTAGGCATCCTTTGGATATTTGCTCCAGGTCACACCGATAGACTGGCTTTCTCTGCACCACTTGGTGGTGAATTGATGTATGACAAGCTAGAAATTGTGAGGGCCCTTTGGAAGCTGGTGAATAGTGCGCAGGCGCAGATGGATCATTGCGGTCTGAGGGGAATGGCGCTGCAAGGAGTTACCAGGAGATTTGGTCGACGCTCAACACTCAGGGAAAAGATAAGACGGATGTACAATCAGACGGTTACTGGCAACATCGGAATTGTAACTCTTCGCATGCTGCTAAAGATGGGGACTGAGCACTTATGGGAGTGTCCCGAGTGCTGTGATGTTGATTCTTAATTCAACATTCATCATTCAACATTCAACCTAAAAGAAGATGGACGGAAGAATCCCTGACAGTCTAAAACTTTGCATAATCACAGCATACCAAGCTACGCCTATTTGCGCCCAACAGTTTTAGCAAAAATACAAGGTCCGACAATTAAGTAATGAGACTGATTCTATTATGGCTGAGACAAAAATGACATCTATGAATCACAGCACGGAATCCAAAGAGGCAACGTTCCACTATGATCTGGCAACTTTTCATCGCCGCACGATAAGCAGACAACAAACAAGCCGTCATTTTGTTAACCTAGTTAGAGGTGCATCGTTACGTAATCAGCACACACACACAAAAGCACACACACAAAAAAGCTCACATTTAATTTTGTTTAAAAATCAGAGAAAGCGCCATTGAAACAGTTGAACTGATGTGACAGGTTTATGGGGATAATTGTTTATCTCGTGCACAGATTTTCAGCTGGTATTCACGATTCAAAAGTGGTGTGGAAATGATTACTAATGCAACTAGACCTGGGCGCCCAATTTCTGTTCGTAATCTGGAACTCATTTCAAAATTCCGAGGACGGGTGCAAAAAGATCGTTGTTCGACTGTGAGGATGACGGTAGATGAATTTGGTGTTAATACAGAGACTATTCTTAAACTTTTAGTGGAAGGTTTGGGCAATAACAAAAAAGTTGCTTGCCTGTTTGTATTCAACACCTGGCAATGTGTTTCTTCTTCGTGGAAATGCACCGGCTCATAGAGCGGTGGTTGTACAGGAATTTTTTGCCCCAAAATAAGTGCGGGTTCTCACCCATCCACCGGATTTGTCTCCCTGTGACTATTTTCTATTCCCAAAATTAAAGTTGCCATTAAAAGGACGCTTCTTTGACGATATTGGTGACACCAAAAGGGCCATAACATCGACTTTAAAGGGCCATAACAACAGAAGAACTACAGAGGTCGTTCCAGTGTTTGTTAGATCGAGCCACCTGCTGTATCATGTTGGAGCAGTTGAAGTTTGCACCCAAGTTCTTACATGTTTCCGTTCGTTTGATGTTCATATTATCGACTTGCATGTCGCCGAAGTTTATCCTTTTCCTATCTAGTTATTATCATGCATTCTGTCTTATCTTGATTGATAACTAGTCCCATTTTCTGAGCTGATTTTGTTAAGACATTTCAATATTTGATTACTTACGTCCTTTCAGGACGTAATTTTTTGTTATTTGAAGCCCCACTCTGGCTTTTGCCAGGGGCCGCAATATAGGCAGGCCATAAAAATGGCCAAATGTCTGAAAGCGGTTTCTGGGACCTCTCCACGGTGATCCTCATCCGCATGGTGGCACTTTGTGTCATTGGGTGTTTATCGCTTGTGTGATGTCCTGGTGGGGTAGAAAGTCAGTCAGTCAGACATTTCAAGTATTGTATTCATCTAGTTATCTCCTTGTGAGGTGCAATTTTTCGTTATTTGAAGTCCTACTCTGGCTCTTGCCAGGGGCCGTAACATAGCCCGGCCATAAATATGGTCTAATGGCTGAACGCGGTTTCTGGGACCTCTCCACGGGTGATCCTCATCCACATGGTGGCACTTTGTGTCATCGGGTGTTTATCGCTTGTATGATGTCCTGATGGGGTAAAAGAAGATAGAAATAAGACGGTCAATATTTTAACAGAGTTTAGGTTATTTTCTCCAACGATGTCAATGTCATCAGCATTTCAAAGTATTCTTGTAGTTTCTCTTGTTTCAATTTCCCTGTAATTTTCTCCAGGGTCAGTTTGAAAAGAAGTGGGACAGAGCATCACTTTGCTTTAAACCAGATGTTATTTGAAAAAGGTCTGACTTTCTGTCTTTATATATTACTATATTACAATTGTCTTCCATACATAGTTTGGTCATGTTAGCTGCATGGCTGAAAACATATTTTTTTTTTTTAAAGTCATCACAAATTTAAGGAAAAAACTGAAGAATTGTGTAAGTCCCCTGCAGATTACTATTTCCTAAGCTGTATCTTTGTTAGCTTATATGCCCATATCCAACACTACACCACCTACCTGATTGAGATGCTCCTTTGTTAGACCCAGCCTGCAGGCCGATGACCCCCTGCCCCTCCCTGCTAGCATCGTCAGCACGGATGTCAGCGATGTGTCGGACAGCACCAAAGCTCATACCTGACTGTGAGGCACATTTGTTTGTACCAGCCTACAACCACAAATCGATGACCAAAAAAAAAAAAAAAAAAGCAGTTGGTATTAATAAAGAAATAGCTTTAGTTTTTATAATCTCTAAGGTCGTAGAGTCAAATCTAAACGGAGCCAGACTATTTTCAAAAGTTACCTTGGCTCCCAAGTGGACCCAGTCTTAAATGGGTACCAGGTAAAATCCTGGGAAGTAAAGGTGGTCGGTATGATCTTGACCACATCACCCAATGAGTTGGTCTTTAAAATAAAGGTCCAGCTGCCCCAATTTCCAATACGTTTGAAGGTGTGGAAAAGGGACATTTACTTACATTGTCTAAAAAAAATTCATGTTGATTTGTAATGTGTCTTTGTCTGTGTATGTGTGTGTATGTGTTTGTGTGTATGTGTGTGTGTGTGTGTGTGTGTGTGAATGGTTACTTATATATGTCAATCCCATAAGATTGTATAGCAAATGGGGACAAAAAAAAATGATTGTAATCATTAGTGTTATGACTTTCTAGATGGGGACAAAAATAATGATTTTAATCATTAGTGTATGACTTTTTAGATGGGGACAAAAATAATGATTTTAATCATTGGTGTATGACTTTCTAGATGGGGACAAAAAATATTATTATAATCATTAGTGTATGACTTTCCAGATGGGAATGGCCACTAGAAAAGCCATACTGATTTCAGCATAGTCAGCCCAAATGCAAGTAATAACTGAACAACAAAATCAAGATAGAGCAGGGATTCAACTGCAAAAGGCTAATACACATCACATGTTGCATTTGACTTGAACAGATGATATACAGTTGTGAATAATGACCTCAATCCTTTGTGATATGCATCTCATAGTATATTATATCGAATACCACATTTTCAACATTCCAGTGGTTTCCCAGCCTCGAGGAGTCAAAGGACAGTTTTGCAGCAAAGACACATTGATGGTGGATCTGGAGAAGAACCTTCACACCAATCCTACTTCAGTAACACAAGGCCCCATCGGCAGCAGCAAGCGTAGAGTTACAATTCTGCTGATACCAGAAACAGTCTGACTGTATAACCGTCTCATCTTTACTTTGAGTGTTGACTGTCATCCAGATATCCTGGTCACACCTCCCAGCACCAGTCTCATCAGACCGTGATGATCCATCTGTACATCTGCTATGTTCTCTCGGCACTAAAGGGCCTTTACAACATCTATCTTGTCATGCATCAGCTCACCACTAAGTTGTACAGAACTAGCAGGTCTATCTGCCTGTGCATTTCCCAATACACCAGCATAAACTAAAGAAAGTATCCAAAGGACGCTATCTACCCGGGACCTCTGAAGCGATGCTTGCCGATATTCAGCGAACATACTTGTCTCCACCTCTTCACTTATATACCTCAGTGAATTCATTTGTCTCAGTGGCTTTTATGAGTTCTCCACCAGTTCCTATCTCTGGCAATTACCTGAAGCCCAATGATGCCCTGGCCTGCTCGAAGTTGCTCAGGTGTGAACTCCACCACGTGTTTCTCTGAAGGCCTCGGACCACACACAGGACCGTTGAATCCATGACGCTGGGCCTGTGGGTAAACCGAAAATATAGCTATTAGGATTTTAGTGAAACCTCAACAATCAGGAGATGAGAACAAAATTTAGGAAGCTATAGTTTTATAGAAGAATAATGACAACATCAACGTCAGATAAACATTAATCAACATCTTAAAAGTATAGGGTTTGAGGTTTGAAGTTTGAAGGTTTAAACCACGAATCAACATTATGGCACGCGGGTAGTAACCCATAAGTGCTCCGTTTTTCTTCTAACTCAAGTCTGAATCTGAAGAAGCTCAGCACAGTGCACAGGCTCTGTAGGACCGGCGAGGATCGTGAAATACTTTGACTAGATTGTTAACTTCAAATTTTGTCCGGGCAGCGCCTTTAGGCTACTCTTTTCGATTTCCACCTGCCAAGGGATTTTTTACGTGCGCAACAGGCTTTTCCCCAACAACAAACAACAACATGATTTGGACATTTTTAGGAGAATGATACTTTATTAAATCTTACTAGCTGCATTTAACTAAAGAAGATCTGGATATAAAATCAATCGGTAAATTGATACCATTACAACTTCAACTAAGATATCGTGGCTGAATCGCAGAAGCTGCAGTTTGATATGAAGCCCAGAGCGTAACTGGCAGGTGTCAATTAAGTTCCTTTTTTTAAAGTTCTTAGTACACTTGTTTCTACAGCGAGGCGCTGTGGTAACAGGCTCGATTCCCGGCACGGCAACAATAGCTTACGATTTTGTGTTGTCTAGTGTGTTGTTCTATCTGTCTTCTTCTTTCTATCAGTGCCGATCGAGACATTGTCTATGTGTCAACTATATATATAAGGTGTTGATTAAGAAACGACGTGGTATCCTACTGGAGCAAGGGTAATATGCAGCGATGCTGACGATGATCAGGAGAATAGTAACGATAACGACGCTTGTTAAGACAGCGTTTTGAGACAACGATGATAAAATGATGAAAGTCTTCGTCATTGTGAAACCGAAAGTTAAAGGGTTAAGGGTTAAAAGTGAGAGGATCGGCTTTTTTGCGCTGGGATTTATCCAACATGGTTCGGTTCCTCTCCGCAGAATGACTAGTCGCCAGCCTGCTGAATGTGTCTTACAAAGCACGAACTCTGTAGCTCCGAAGACGATCCTCGTGGATTTCGTGTTTCAGAACCAGGGTGTTGCGTGTGCATCCGTGTGACAGATCTGACCCATTCGTGTGAAGACTGTTGGTTTCTTGCCTCACAGGCATATGCCCTCCGACTTTGAAGGAAGCTCCCAGTAAGTCGACTCTTACGACATGCTTTTGGGTAAGCAACGAGCCTATTCTTGTTTTCCCTATAATAGGGCTCCGGAACTCACACAGGGATTATTTTAATAATAAAAATAATGATAATAATAAGACTGATGATGTAGATGATAATGATAGCATAAAGCAAACTCACCTCGGTTCCCAGCTGTAGGATAGTTGATATCACCATGGCCATGTTTCTGCCCTCAAAAAGGTCAGCTGTTGGGAACAGGCTGTTGCTAGGGACGCCATAAGCTTCCACTGCTTTCAGGAAAATCTCAATGTTCTCCATCTAAGAGAGGACGGATGTTTGTGTTATCGTCACCATAATTATTATTGAAACTACAGACACATAAATATAAAATCAAAGTAAAAGTAAGTAAAGCCTTCAAGCGTATTGCGCTAGACCTATACTTAATAGACCCATCGACACTTTGTGGGTGATGTGGTCAGCATTACGCCGGCCGCTTTCACTTTCCAGCATTTCTACTGGTACCCACTCAAGGCTGGGACAACCTAGGAGCCAAGGTCATTTGTGAAAACAAAACGTCTGGTTCTGTCAAGACCCAAACCCACGATCTTCTTATTCGAGCTTGGGCGTCTAACCAAAATCACAGTTAAAAAAAAAAAAAAAAAAAGTAAAGTGCCCTTTTCACGCCTTTCGGCGCATCGGGCATATGGGCAGAGCGTCCCATATTTTTACAGACTATCAGCACCTACAGCAAAATACACCGTAGCCATCTATACGGTGAAAGGGAGACGGAAGGGAAGAAGAAAATGAACGAGAAGGCGATGTTGGAGGGAGTAGAGGAGAAGCGAAAAATGATCTTGTTTTTAAAGAAAACGATTGGGTGGGGGGGGGGGTGGGTTAGGTGGGAGGGGGCGTGTGACTGGGGAAGGAAGACAGTGAGGAAAAGCATGGAGAAATGAAGGAGAAAAAAGCTGAACTAGAGATTAATTTATAAATGTTCATTTCTCTGCCAAGACAGCGTGGCCTCTTGGAATACTTTTCTGAAACCAAGTCACAGTGTAAACTTGTATTTGTTACATGTTACCAACGGGAATTTTTTCTTCTTGAGAAAAAGTTGCTGGTATTCACTAGAAAGTGTTTAGGAAAAGTGCCAGTAGGACCATAAAGTGTCTTCTACACTAGAGCCTGAAACAATGGTGCGCAGAAACAGGTACCAGTCCTGCATACTGTTGTTTAGAGTGTATCTGTTGTTTAGCGTGTATCTATTGTTTAGCGTGTATCTGTTGTTTAGAGTGTATCTGTTGTTTAGCGCGTATCTGTTGTTTAGCGTGTATCTGTGTCTGTTTTGCAGATAGAAACTTTCTCAACCAACGATCTTAATTGTGTCTTGCGTGGGTCGAATCTTTCAGATCTAACAACGTCAGCTTTAGATGAGGTTTGAGGTTTGAACAACAGATCAACATCATGGCACACGGGTAGTAACCCATAAGTGCTCCGTTCTTCTTCTAATTCAGGTCTGTCCGAAGAATCTCAACACAGTGCATAGGTTCTGTAGCACCGGCGAGGATCCTGAAATGCTTTGGTTAGATTTTTAACTCCAAATTTTGCCCAGGCAGAGCCCTAAGGCTACTCTTGTCGATTTCCAACTGCCAATGGATTTTTTACGTGCGTAACAATGCACACGGGCATCCGATCTCACTACCCAGAGACCAGGGAAAATTACTAGAAGTCCAAGTCCACGTGAACAAATCCCAACCCTTACCGGGGATTGAACCCGGAACCTCTAGCACTCGAGGCGGACACCATGCCTTGAGACCACGCGGTCCTCTGTCAACTTTAGAGTCATCAGTCATCAGTGAGAATGTCCTTTAAATAACGTTGATCTCATCACGACACGCATGAAAGTGTTTAATTCTCTCGCCAGTTCTCCAGGCCTGTGTGCTTTCATAGCCAGTTTATCTTCAGTGTCTCCATGGCTATGGTGAGCACGACTAGACACACCGGCCCGCGTTAAGAAAAGTACTCTACAAAAAGAGCATTGCTGCACCGTCTGCCGTTGTTGTTATGGGGTAGCTCAGCCATATCAAACCATGAGCTGATACATATGTGTACTTAAGTGATTACATGCACCATTAACATATGAAACTTGAAATCCTTTAGTCTGTTCATGATTAAGTACTGTGTTCTGCAAAAACCTTTTCACATTGATGATGACGACGATGATGATGATGGCGATGATGATGATGATGGCGATGATGATGACGATAGCGAAGAATGACGTGATGTTGGCGGTGATGACGAGGACTACGAAGATAATGATGATGAGTGTGAAGACAACAACGATAATGATGATGCTGGAGACGACAGAGATGAATTACATGATAATGCTGACAATAAAGATAATGATGACTTCAACAAAGAATGACATAGTGGTGGCGATGATGACGATGGCGATAAAGATGTTGATGATAATGATTGTGGTGGTGACGAAAACAAAGAATTACATTATGGTGGTGATGATGACTACGAAGATAATGATGACGACGATGATGATGACAACGATGACGGTGATGAGAAGGATGAGTAGCAGCTAGTACTCACCTGTTTGAAAGGAAGAGGGCTGGTGTTGCCCTTCAACTTGATGTTTCTGGCAGCTGGCGGTAGATTGGGTGTTCCTGCGTACACCGCTTGAACTAATCTGTCAATACACAGCAAACACGGTTGTTACCATTCCTAGCTATTGCCCAGCACAGTTGTTACCCAACTAAGTTATTACACGGTTGTTACCATTCATAGCTATTGCCCAGCACAGTTGTTTACTCAAACACAGTTGTTATCCCAACCACAGTTGTTACCCCAAACACACTTATTGCCCAAAACACAGTTATTACCTCAAACATAGTTGTTATCCCAACCACAGTTGTTACCCCAAACACACTTATTGCCCAAAACACAGTTATTACCTCAAACATAGTTGTTACCCCAAACACAGTTATTACCCCAAACATAGTTATTGCCCCTAACACAGTTGTTACCTAACACAGTTGTTACCACAACCACAGTTGCTACCCCAAATACAGTTGTTAGCCCAAACACAGTTGTTACCATAAACACAGTTGTTACCCCAAACAAAGTTGTTACCCCAAACACAGTTGTTACCCCAAACACAGTTGTTACCCCAAACACAGTTGTTACCCCAAACACAGTTATTACCCCAACCACAGTT